GGGAGAGAGAGAGAGAGAGAGAGAGAGAGAGAGAGAGAGAGAGAGAATGAGTGTGTGTGTGTATGTGTGTGTACACCGAGTGCTCTTGGGGATGTGCCTCACTGATGGGGGCTGGCTGTATTTGTAGGATGGAGACATTCCCTGCAGTGGCTGAGAAGGTCCTCAAGGAGTTCCAGGTGTTGCTGCAGCGTAGTCCCTCTCCTATTGGAAGTACCCGCATGCTGCAGCTTATGACCATCAACATGTTTGCTGTACACAACTCCCAACTGAAAGGTAAGGAATGTCCAGTTTCTTTATCTAGACAGATAAAGATTAATCTAGCTTCTTTCCTATGCTACCATACCACTACACATTCCCCTCAAAACACACACACACACACACACACACACACACACACACACACACACACACACACACACACACCTTTCCCCCGTTGCCTTTCAGATCTTTAATTTACTCTCTGAAATCTGTATGACTCTCTAGTGCTTGGGTGGGATGGTTGGAGGGAATCATGGGTAGAGAGCTTAATTTGCAAACCCAGAGATGCTGTTGCACATCTGGCCATGCTAAAGGCAGCAGCAAGGCCTCTTGGAGGCTGCAGACCCAGAGCCTCTCCCAGGGGGGGAGGCATTGCTGAAATGTTTCATTGCAGAGACCATACGCTTGGCAGGGATTGGGAATAGCTGTTTCTGGACTCATGTACCCTGTTTGTTCAATATGGAAAAGTCTAGTTCCCTATGGGATATCCCTTGTGGGAGTCTGCCAGGGAGTAAGAACAGAGAATCGATGAGCTTTGGTGACTCAAATCTGGAAGCACAAAAATCACCAGGCCCAGAATTTGGCAAATGTACTAGTGTGCATTCCGAAATGCTTTTCTGAACACTGGGGTTTTTTTAACATGAGGGGGGGGCTGGGGTAGGAGAAATGGGGGGTGGTGCTGATTGGCAGGAGTTTTAAATGTTCTGATGACCAGGTCACAGTTGAAGGATGTTACCGGATCCCCCCCACCTCCCCTTCCCTTTCCTCCACCCCACTGAGGTAAGGATGATGGGGTTTGACTTGATGGAAATCTGTAGCATGGAGGTGACATTATTTTGTGTGTTTGTTTGCAAAGGAGATTTGGTCCATGCTGCCAAAGAATCATTTCAGAGCACTGGCAGAGAGTGTCTGGTCTCAGGGCTGGAAGCTTATCATCTGAAATGCCAAGAAGCGGGAATTACCCTATGGAGAGTCCATTGTAAAACAGACCTGGTGTTTCTGGACAGAGGATCACTAGTTCTTTCATCGCACCTTTTCTTAGTGATTTCTCTCACTCCGAGGTTGATTTGTTTCCCTTCCCATTTGTATTTAGGTTATGCTTCAGCCTGCTGCAGGGGGGTGTTCTCGCCTGATGAGTGGGTATTCTGCACTTTCCCTTGAAACTTGGCTCCTCCTGGGACTCTGCAAGGTCCTCTGCTAGTTTGCCTGGGTTTTCAATCACATCTGAATCCTAAAGGGTTTTCTGCTTTCACGCTGCCTGCTGCAGCATTTAGAATTCCCGGAAGAAGGTGAGATGCAGAGGCTTAGGTGCCATTTTGAACTTGGCTAAATATTCCCAAGAACAGTTCTGAGGAAGCATGCAGTCCTGAGGGGCAGTGGAGGTTTCCAGGAATGAGGAAATAAGGTTTGTGAAGTGTGGTGAGGCCATCAGTCCAGAGGGGAGGGAGATTGATCCCTTCATCGTTACTCCGCTGGTTGGGCTCCCAAGTGGGAAGCTCACTGGACTCAGGGAATGGGGCCTCCCGAGGTGCCTTCCTCTTCACTTTCCTGCCTCCCTCTAACAACAGCAAGCTGCCTGTCACAGGGCTGCAGCCTCTGCCAAGGCACTGTTCCTGCATCGAGTGACCTGGAGGTGGGGATGTAAAGACCCCGCAGCCCTTGCCTGTGGAGCATCTGTTGTCAGCAACTTCTGCTCCACGGAAAGGAACCCGTTGGCCCTTTCATAGGCCACCAGTGAGTCCTTTTCCTGGAGCTGTTGTAAAGTAAAAGTTAAGAAAATATGGGTGAAAGGAAGGTGAGATGGTGAGAACAGAGAAAGAAGGAAGTAAGTGGTTCCCCTTTTTTGAGGCCAGGGTACTTTTTCTAGGACTCTTTTCCATGGTCGGTCATAATGAGGACCTGATAGCCAGGAAGGACATGTCGCAGCCTGTACGCGAGACCCTACCACTGGTTCTGGCTTTGTCCTGGCGCTCACCTCCCTGGGGCAGCTGGGGCTGAGAGGAGTATGAGCTGAGGTGGTCAGAAGCTCCCAGGGTGTTTCAGGGAAAACAGCCTGGGCCACAGGATATAACACTCAGCCAGGACAGAGCGCTCTGTGGACGTGCTGCCAAGTCCCCGGTGTGCAGCTGAGGCGGCCGTCCAGACCCCACTGTGTGGGCTGCCATTGGGAGAGGGGTGAGCAGAGCACTCAGCAGAGCTGGCTGGTGGGAAGATGCGCTTTTCCATTTCCCAGCACATGAGTCATCTTCGCTGGGCCCCTGTGCTGTGCTTGCACGGACAGTGGCAAGAAGGGGGTGTTGTGGCTGAGCAGCAGCATCTGTGCCGGGGGTGGAGAGGGAAGGGGGTTGGGGAGAGGGTAAAGATTTAAATCCTTCACTAATCAGCAGCAGTTTGAATCACATTTTTATGAGTAAGGAAGTGATAAATCAGCCCTGAGTGTTCAGCCCCCAAGTCCCGTCAGCCGGTGCCCTTCTGAAGGCTTCTCTCCAGGCCAGTCTGCTTGCTGTCAGAGTCGCCACCCAGCCGCGGGACCCTGGCTGTCTGAAACCAGGAAGCAAGGGCCTGCTGCTGCCTGGCCCTCCCAGGTGCTTGGGGTCTGTGGTGATTTGGCAGTCACTGCAAGTTACAGAACATCTGGGCCATCATTTTTCTTTCCGTTCCTTCTTGGACGTGTCCTTCTGGGTGGGTGTTTGCATATGTCAGTTCCTGGACTCTGTGGAGAAGGAACGTTCCAGCCTGAAACAGCGGTGATCTGTGGCCCCCCAAAGCAGTCAGAATCCTCTCAATCTGTGCCTGACCCTTCCCTGTAGATGTGGTACTTAAGGAGGGCAACAGGGACGTCCTTACTAAAAAGTACGTCCTTTGCTGATGCCTCTGATTCTTTTTTGTGTGTGTTTGATGCTACCCTTGTATAAGCCCTCTTTTCAAAATACCAATAGTCCAGGGTGGAAATGATACCGTTACTAACACTTTAGTGTGATTACTTTTCAAATGTGCTTTCCTTGGGGTCAAGAGACATAGAACTGTTTTAAAGCTTTGGACACCTCACAAGCCAAATGGAGGGGAAAAACTTAGATGGTGGTGAATGACAGGCATCTTTCCCCTTTTCTAGGTTATAGTTTTTCCTGGAGCTCAGGGAGGCAGAGGTTGTGAGATTTGTCCCCCTTCCAATAAGGGAAAATGAGTTTTGCCACATCATTTAACCAACTAAACTTTCAGGTCTCAGCAGTGATCTTAAAACTCACAAGTTCAGGGCTATTGGTGGGGATACCTTTATCTCCTCCCCTCATATGGGCCCTATGCAAAAAGCCTACTTCAGTGGGACTACAGAGAGTCTAGAATCCTAATACCTACACTGAGGTGGTTGGGGACAGATACATTTGAGGGGTGTTTGGGGCCATTAGCATGGTGCCTGGTATTTCTTAGGCACTCAGTAAGTATTCATTGAATGCATGGATGAGGAAGGCCAGGTTCTGGGCAGGCCAGCCCTCATTGAACAGTGTGTTTCCTTCCTGGCCTTTGTCCAAAATTACCCTTGGGCTAGTGATGGGTGGTGGTGAGATAGGTGGTTCCCAGAGTGACGTCACAGTTGGTGATCTCTGCAGCATTCCTGAAGGGAGAAACAGGGCCTTCTCCATGTGCCTCAGCATTTAACACTTCAGTAGCCATCTGATTGGCTGATGTGGTGCTGGAGGGGGAATGGTTGATCTCAACCACAAGCATTCTAAGAATTTTAATTTTTTTAAAAATTCTGTAATTTAAGGAAATAAAACTGTAGTTTCTTGAAGAGGAATAATTGAAGCAACATTTGTGGTAGGGCATCACTGAAACCCCATTGCACCCCCCATCTGTGCCCAATTTGCTCCAGTATGGCCCCCTTTTTGTCCCCCTCTTTTTCTCTCCCCCTCTTGTGCTCTCTCTCTCTCTGTCTCTCTCTCTCTCTGTCTTTTTAAAAAATATGTTTTATAATTCCTGGAATCAAAACCATCTCAGGCACACACTGTTTTATTTTACTGTATTATTGGATTATACTTCCTATAAATCACTGGATGTTATTCATTGGCCACCGCTGGAATAACTTCCCTTTTCTGTGCCCTGGCCCCCTCTTTTTCCCCCTCTTTTTTCCCCTGTTTTTCCTCCTCTTTTTCCTCCCCTACCAGTTCATAGAGTAGGCCTCCACTGCAGCCTTGCAGAAAAGCCCTGGTGGCAGCAAGAGGGCACCCAAGAGACACTGCTTGTGCTCCCTGTTCTTAGGGAACATTTAGGGCCTGGGATTGAGGCAGGGCTAGGCTGGCATTCCTTTCTTTATCATTTATGCTTGCTTTTATGGTTTGTTAGTAACCCTGAATTGCAGGAGGTGGTAGGAGGGAGTGCCACATGCATGCCTCCAGAGGGATAGAGAATCGCAGCTGTTAATATGGGACAGATGGAGCTTAACCCCAGTGTGTGGGATGCTTGAGATGGGAACCACACACCTTCATGCTGTGGTTGTGTATGCAGGTTGACTCCGGTTGAGAAGTTCGATTCACAACCAAAATGTTTTTGTCCGTGGCATACAACCACCTTAGAGACCTTTAGTAAAGCAATTTGCTCCTCTGTGGCAATTCACTTCTGTCTGAGTCTCTTACCCAAGCAGAATATATGAAGTGCCTAATCCTCTGCTTGTCAGAACAGTTGTACAGGAAATCCACCTTTCATAAAGGGTTAGGCTTGAGTTTAGCTGTATAAACCGCCCCTCTCCTTCCTCCTTGTCTATCTCTGGTGGTAGAAGCCCTTGGGCTCTTTCTCCTCAAGGATCTGTGTGGGTAGATTTCTACAGGTAATCAGCACTGCCTGACCTTCGTTTTCAGGACTGCTCAGTTTAGAGCAAATAAACGAAGAAACAGCCAGCTTGGCCAACAAATTATGTGAGAAATAGATTCAGAGGTCAGAAGAGGCAAGGCTTTAGGAGGCAGGCCAGGGGAGGGTGCATCCCTTAGCCATGCCCTTTATCCCTCTGGGGGAGACAGAACTAT